CACAATCACAAATCATGTTTTGTATAAGAAACATTTCTTTGAATCGTGCACTTTAGCGATTGTGTTCTTCTTACATGTCTCAGATGTACAAAGGTCAACTTAGGAGCTTGAAATCTGGTATAATACTTTTTGAGATTGAAGTTTGAGACAACAATGCCATTTTTGTTATCCTTTGTCCTAAATAATTGTTACTGTCACATATTTTTGACAGACGGGCACACCGGAAAATCTCTGAATTGGACGCAACACATAGGAGCAGCAATTGGAGTAGCAAAGGGAATTCAATTTTTGCATTCTAGAATTGTCCCTGGTGCATATTCGAACAATCTCAAAATTAATTAAGGATGTTTTATTGGATCACAATCATGTTGCGAAAATCAGAAGTTTTAACTTGCCTTTGTTATCTAACATAGGAAAGGTATGAAAATAATTTCATTATGAATTATTTTGTTTTGTTTTATGATGATAAAAGGCTTTCTTGCATGCTCGATGTGGAAATTCGACGAGGCTGCATGTGAACAATTGTACAATGCTGGCTACACAAACCTGTTATGGGTTCAAGGAAGCTATGAGGCTGCCGAAGGATCGGAACCAAAACTGCTTATACTATTATATGCTCTTCGTCTTCCTCCATTTCCAAGGCACAATTTAATGAGAACTTGAATGTTGTTGTCAAGAAACTACACTGTGAAATTCAAAATGATGAGACAAAATTTGAGGTATTCATTCATTTGTTTGTGATTGTTGGTTCTCTTCAAGAAAAAGTTTATATCTATTTGTATTGAATTGAATATTGGTGTGATGAATTTTCAGAGTGAGGTTAGTTTGTTGAGTAAAATTCAGCATCCAAATATAATTTCTTTACTCTGATGAACATTAATGGAGATACAAGGTTCATTGTGTATGAGTTAATGCAAAATGGATCCTTGGAAGATCAGTTACATAGTATTAATATATTTCATCAGTTTACATTGAATGAGAAAATTGATTTGAAATTTCATTTCTTTAAGTTCATTTGTTACTATCTTCAATGTTTTATATTTTCAATTGATGTATACACTACTAGAAATACATAGTTTACCTGCGGATTTACCTGCGGATTTTGACAAAACTTCCGCAGGAAACACGTTTCCTGCGATTTTTCCTTAGCTTATTCGTTTCCAGCTAAAACCTCCGTGGGTAATTAACATAGCAGGAAAAGTCGCAGGAAATAGTCGCAGGAAAAAATCGCAGAAAAAAGTCGCAGTAAAAAGTCGCAGTAAAAAGTCGCAGTAAAATGTCGCAGGAAAAATGCGCAAGTATAACAGCTAAATTCGCAGGTAATACCGCAGGTTACTTTAACTTTTGCAGGAAAAGTCGCAGCAAACTGGAATAATATAATTAATTTCACAGGTAATTTCTCTCTCATGTTTTTAATTTTTATTATTCATTGTGTCTAAGTCATATTTAAAATAATATATTTAATGTATTTAATAATATAAAAATAAAAAATCTAAAGAATCTGATTTAATTTTGTTAAATGATTTATCATTATCCAAAGAATCTGATTTAATTTTGTCATAATTATAAAAATCTAAGTATTTATTCGATCATGGCGTTAAAACCACCAAAATCTACCCTAATAAATAACTTAAGACTGCCGCATCAACCATGAGGAAAATGATCCAAAAATTCCACTCAAAATACACATGTAGTAACGATTCATACAACAAATATACATAATCTTCTATCTAGGAATCTAAGTTACAGTTGAAAGTAACTACTGTCCCTTAATTATGAACTAGCAAATTAGAAAAATCAATTCCCTTGGACTTGTAATATCCTTTTTCTGTATTTGTCAATCTACCTTGGAACATTCTCCACTCCATCCCACACCTCTCTTTAACCTGTCACCAATAATACCATGCAAAATATACATATAAACAAAATCAAAATCCATTTAATTCATATACATTATACATTGTCAATGTAAAGAAAAGTATAATCCTGACAATTAATCGTAATCGTCAAATAAAAAAAACGTTTGAATTACAAAAGGTTCTTATATCATACCGCCCGCCATGCCGGCTTCCCCGTTTGTGCTTCTCCCCTATCAAACAAAACGCGAAAAACATTAAAATTTATAAAGCTTCATTTGAGTAATGATAATATAATTAAAATCAAACATATTATGTATCATGATTAGTCATAAACTAGATTAAAATCTTACCTGATCCCCTAATGATGGAATACCTTGGTGAACAATCCATTGAGCATCAACCACTCCAATTTTCTCATGGACGGGCTATAACAGAATTTAATTCAAATTTCTATAGCATATCAAAATTATAGTATAATAAGAGAAATAAGCTACAGTTCACAAAGTTCACTGCATTGTTGTCGAGAATGCTGAGACCTGAAATCTTTTTAACAGTTGGTCCTGGCTTCCCAATAACCTACAGCATAGAGTGAGGTCACTGGATCTTTCATTGACATTGTTCAAATGTAATGTAAATATGAGAGAAATATGTATCAGAATTTACCTTCTGGCGAATAGAGCAGAATCCACTAAATTGTAACGTTGCACCCAATAGAGAGTCAACAATACTCCCACCTAGTCCTGCCGTGGTAGCCATGGGTATGACCAGTAGTTGCTTGAGAACTCTATCAGACAGTGTTTCGTTAACATTGGTCTCTAGCCAAACAGCAATGTGATTTACGCGGATGCTCATATAGGGCTTAGACTAAAAGACTATTTACCTTGAAGGTTGTGATGAGACGAGGTCGGTCATCACTGAGAACTCCAATCTCTGAAGACCAGGTATCTCCATTGCAGCAGCAATAATGGCCAATAACGCCACCAATAAGAGCGGTAATCAGAGGCGACTCTTTAGAGTTCAAGCAATAATCCTTCCCGTCGGTTAAAACCCATAAAGCTACAACCAGAACAGAGGCAATACCACTATTTGACAGAACTTGTATCCTGAAAAAATAACAGTAGGCAAAATTCAGACCAAACTCAGGTCAATCAACAACATGCATGTCAAATTAATATCATATGAGTAATTGTAATAGTATATAAATTAAAGTTCAAAGTTGAACCTTTGCATACTCTATCTGATATACTCTATAGTCAGTGAGATATGATAAAAAGCAAAACCATAGATTGAAAAATGAATGTTGCAATCAAAATGGACACTCTCCATATGAATTTTGGACCACTTTATCACTTACAATTATATCATAAACAGCAGAACTTTTTTGGTAGATGAAATTTGATTTCTCAATTATTAACATTCAAAACAAAAAGAAACACAAGATTGTAAAAACAGAACAAAAGTTCATATAGTAGTTAACATAGGACCATGTCCATAACAACATAAAGTTAAGATATGTACCACACAGGATCATGATCATATCATACTACATTATTGCATTTCATTACTGGTAAAAAAAACTAAGTCAGAAGAAAGCTCTGCTACCATAAAACAGAAACGCTAAATCAAATATTAAAAACACCTTGAGTATTGATGGCTGAATCTTATTGGGTCCTCTAGATGAGAATGAAGCCATTACTGGAGCTGGCTTTCTTCCATAGAATGTTTTTGCTCCTGAAAACCTTATTGTAGTACCTGTTTTTAGTTTAGAGTCCCTGCAATTATAAGTATAATGTGTATGGTTAGAGTTTTTCATTCGTAGCATGTCAACAAATGTAACAGTTCTAAAAGGGTATGCGGAAGAGTAAGACGGATATATAATCAACTACATTGAAATGATGTCATAGGAAGAAATGTTAGCAGAAGAGTGGTAATCGCTTTCGTTATGTGGCGTAGATACACAAGACAAAACATGAGGCTCAACAAGAGTCGTTTTCCCTTATTGTGGTCGATTGCTCAAAAGCATTCCCTTTTCGATTGCATGCCACTATTTTCCCTGCAGATGAAGCTTCCTGACCTTCAGCAACTGATTTTATATTTCCTTCTCGATTGCATGCCACTATTTTCCCTTCACTTTTAAAAGGATCTAGTGTTCCCGGCCTACAAAGTCGTCTGCAACAATACATATGAAAAGTGTGAGAAATCATTGTTTAATTAGTTAGTAAGTTTATTTCAAAGTAAAGCATTTGAGATTGGTACTTACGCGTCACGATTTGTCGCATTGGCAAGCTTACCATCGGTAGCAAGAATCAAAGAAAAGGCTTTGTTTGGTGGCAGGTTTACAAAAAGACTGGCTCCCTAGTAATAAAAAATCAAAAACAGTTATTTCAAATTTAATTACTATTAGTTAATAATAATATGAAGAGGATTAATAAGAATTACGATGACATTTACCGTCACTTTTTGATTGTTACCAAAAGTTACAGTACTGCTGAAATCTCTATCTAATGTACTTGCAGCAATTGTGAATACCCATGGAGCTACGTTCACAACACTTCCTGCTGTTGGTCCATCATTTCCAGCAGAAGCAACTACTAATATATTTCTAGAAAGTGCATGAAATGCACCTACTGAAACCTCGTCGGTAAAAATATCTTTGGGATTAACAAGGTATTGGCCAGCAGCCGAAAGTTTTGAACCATAATATTTTTCTTGATGAAGGTGAGAATCTTGCAACAGGAATAAGAGTTATTATTCTCTTTTGAGTTATACAAAAGATGAGATAATTTTATATATTCTATTGATAGTTAATTACCATCTGGGGATGTCACGAAAATAGATGAGACACTGTCAAGCATGACACGCCATTCAATTTTGAAATGTTACTACCGGTAGAACAGCCGCTGAAAATCGTTGGCTATGCGACATGGGTTAAACAAAACAGCCACGTAGCAACCAAACTCACAATGGCATCACATTATTAAAATATAAGCAGTAGGAAAAACATAGTTTTAAGATGAAATCAACTCGAAACTCGACATGAACACAATGGTAACTTGTCTTCGACCAATGGCTCTAAAAAGTTTTTAGAATCTAGGTGATTGTTATCTACAAGTCAAGTAAATGTTTAAAAATTTATCTAAATCAAATTGCAATTAAATTTTCATCATCGTCATTGGAATCCTCTTCATCTTCATTTTTTTGTATTGTTGACAAACTAACCTCTTCACCATCAACTTCATCATCTTGTAGGAGATCAATTGGGTCATCTTCAATTGTTGCACTAACTTGTGACTCTTGAACTTGAAAAGCAACCTCTAGTGTGTGTCTATCATCAACAACCCCTCTTGGCTTTGTCTTTATAGCTACCAACCAATCAAACTTATCTCTTGGGCGCCCAGGATAAGGTGAATAATAAACTTGAGTTGCAGCTTTTGGAAAAATAAAAGGATCAAATTTACTATATTTTCTCCCCTTACGAACTTCTACAATCTTGTACTGACGATGTATTCGCATCCCATGTCTTGAAGGGTCAAACCAATCACAGTAAAATAAAACCAACTTTTTTGTTGTTTGACTTGGCCATTGAAGTTCTAGAATTTCTGTAAGAATGCCATAATAGTCATTTGAAGTTTCATCTTGTCCTATTCCACTAACACACACCCCACTGTTATAGGTTGTTTTTCCTTCACCCCAAGAAGTTGTGTGAAATTTGTATCCATTTGCAAAATAAATGGCTTTGGGTTTCATATAGTTCCCATTAGAATTTTTTTTCAACAACAACTCTCTTCTATGACAATACTTTTCCAAGTCCAATCTTGCGTTTTCGTTGTCCTTAGTTTTCTCTTTGTTGTCCATAACTGTATGAAAAACATTTTCAAAGACATTCTTTTCTATATGCATAACATCAAGATTGTGCCTCAATAAGTTGTGTCTCCAATAAGGCAAGTCCCAAAATATGCTTCTTTTGGTCCAATTGTGTGAAATTCCACGACCAGGAACAATGCAATTCCGCATGTTAGTTACTTTAGGAAGCCCACAAACCTCTTTCCATACTTGTTCACCACTTAACCTTGGAGGAGGCTCTCTTGTCTCAATTCTATTTTTGTAAAACATAACCTTATTTCTTCTAAAAGCGTGATCACGAGGTAAAAATTGACGGTGGCAATCAAACCAAGATCTCTTTTTTCCTTTTTCCAATGAGAAAGCTTTTAAACCTCCCTTGCATATTGGACAAGCAAATATTCCTGCAGTACTCCACCCAGACAACATCCCATAGGCAGGAAAATCATTTATTGTCCACATTAGTGCAGCTCTCAATCGAAAATTTTGCTTCTTTGATGCATCATATGTTACTACACCATCATTCCACAATTGTTGCAATTCGTCTATCAACGGTTGTAAGTACACGTCAATTTTACCTTTTGGATTGTCTGGACCTGGAATGATCAAGGTCAAGAACATATAAGGCATCATCATACATAGCTCAGGAGGTAGGTTATATGGTGTGACAATTACTGGCCAACAAGAATATGGTTTTGCAGATTGGCCAAAAGGGGTAAAGCCATCAGCACACAAACCAAGTCTAACATTTCTAGGTTCCGAAGAAAATGCAGGATATACTTGGTCAAAGTGTTTCCAAGCTTCCCCATCTGAAGGATGACACAACACACCTTCTTCCCTACGATGTTCATAGTGCCACCTCATGTGCTCTGCGGATCTCGCCGAAGCATATAATCTTTGAAGGCGAGGGATTAAAGGCAAGTAATGCAATCTCTTGCGAGGAACATCTTTAGAGTTTCGCTTACGCTTACGCAGAATACATGTTTTGTATCGAGGCTCATTGCAAAACTTGCACTCATTCAAATTTATGTCCTCTTTGTAATACAACATACACCCACCAATGCAACAATCAATCTTTATCTTTGATAAACCGAGTCCAGACACAAGTTTTTTTGTTTCCCTAAAGTTAGAGGGAATTACATTCTCTGGGTGACTTGATTCCTTCATAAACTTGACCATGTCATCGAAACATGCTTGTGACATATTGTGTTTAGATTTTAAACTCAACATCTTAATAGCAGCAGATAACTCAGTTGTGTTTTTACATCCCGGCCACAATGGTTGTTGAGTTGAATTCAACATGTCATAAAATAATTTTGCTTCCATATTTGGAGGTTCCTCTTCTTGTTGTATAAAATGTTGTTCGCGATTAAAACCGGAAGCATCAAACACCATGTCTTGATATCTATGAACATGTTCATAACTCCCCTGTTGACTATTACTACAAGGCGCAATCATATCTATACCATCATCTTCATCACTATCATTGATGTGAGCGATTATCTCTCCATGGCAAGTCCAATTCCAATATTCTGGTGCAAACCCGTGTTGGTGAATATGAGTGTTTGCCTCATCTGGGGTGAGGTGGTCCTCATTTTTGCACAACTTACATGGACATCTTATTATACAATTCTTCAAATACTCTTTCTGTTGACAAGCAAAGTTTATAAACTCTTCGACACCTTTTAAGAATTCATATGTATGTGCACTTCGACCCGGGAGAAGCCTATTATACATCCATGTTCGATGCGGAGGAATTTCCATTTCCAACGTAGCTCCAAAAATTGTATTAACACCTATATATATTACAAAGTATAATAAAATCTAATGTGGACACAAATGCGATAAGTCACCAAATCATTAATATAGACACAAAGTATAATAAAATCTAAAATAAACAATCAAATGCAATAGGAACATATTTAAGTCATAAAGTAGTACCTACCTTGAAATTTCAAAATCAATAGCTTTGCTCGGTACCGAAAATGAGTTCAAATTTGTGCTTCAACCTGCAAGAATAACAATTGATTGTATTAATCTCTATCAAACACATCTTGATTCACATATGAAAAAGAACAAACAAGACATCTATATGAAGAAAACATTATAAAATCAAAGTAATGCGTCCACAGGTAAATTAAGGCAAACTTGTTTCAATGACAGTATACTAATTACATTATATTTGTGAAAGCAATCAAATTAAATAGTACATTAAAGAAACAGCATATAAGATAAATATGCATTACTTAATTAAAGAAACGAGATTTGTGAAGGGGAATCAAAATAACAGTACACTGATTCATGTATATTTTTGAACAGCTATATCAAAATATGTTGACAAAATTAACAGACCAACTTTAATATGAAAGAAACAAAATTTGAAGAGGTTGGTACAAGTCACATGCCATTTTCCTGAAATTGTTGATAGTGACACAGAGGATCAATCTACTTTGCTATTTTTTGATGTAAAAACAATTTTACTTTTTTGGTTGCTTTTTCAATTTTGCAATTTCTGAACACACAAGGAAGTAAGAGAATATTAGTACTACACCCACCATACACCATGTTTGTTTTTCAAGTCTTTCCACTCACTTTTTTAATTTCAATTTTGGAACTTAAAACACCTTAAACAATATAATGAAAAACAATACTTTCAATACAAAAAATCATTAAATAAAAATAGAGTCAAACTCAACTATAAAAAGGGAGAAGAGAACTCTCACAATGGGATTCAAGACATGTAGAAAGGTTTGAATTTCATTGCCATTTTTACCACCACCTTTGTCTATAGCAAATAGCCCCATTACCTTTATATTAGCAGAAGCACCAACTCCATAAAATCATAAGAAAAAACACATTCCAAAGTCACACAGACATTTTGTCGAACACGTTAGATGCATCATCCAAAACACATTCCACAATCACACAGACATTTTATCGAACACCTTAAAGCCAAGTATGGTTGAACATGAGGTAACTTGTTCATCTACTCTCTCTTGACTGAATTCTAGAAGCTACTGATGTTTTCGTGATTGCCCCACTAGAACCTCCCAATGTGAACTTAGCACACATCACAATCTAAAAATTAACAACATTAAAAGCCCCTAGCATAAAACCAGTCTGAAACGGAACTGAATTGCAGACATCAAGATTTGATACGGCACAAATATCCCACTATTCAGAGCTACTCTCTCAGTCGAGTGGAGAAAACTCTTGCACCTTCGTTCCCAAGTTCATTTCTTTTCACCCAATTTGTAATTTTTTCGGTTTTAAAATAAACATCATTCTAACTTATAAACAAACATCGTTTTCTATGTAAACAAAAAATAAACTATATAAATTATATGTAAGCAATAAAGGAATTCCAAAAAACATATCAAAAACACATTGAGACATTTCATCAAACATTTAGAGTGCATCAAAGTAAAGGCTTCAATTCAATTAATAAGAAATACAACAAATTCAGCAACATGTAATTTTTATGGCAATGAATATTCATAAACATTAAATCATAACAAACTATCAAGAAGCTCAAATGCTCAAAATATTTATTTTACCTTCACAACAATTATATTAAAACATCAAAATATGTAACACTCTATATGATGTTCTATAGGCTATATATTTACATTTGTCTCTCTCCCACCTTTAATTTTTTACACTACACATTTTTTATAAAAATATATATATATATATTGAGTTTGACATTAATATTTTTGATGTCCAAACATTATTTTTCTCTACGGAATTAGGGTAATTAATAAAGACGTATGCATCATTGACTTGTGCATATTGAATAAAGTGTTGTAGCAATTAGTCAAATGCTAATAATTGGCAATTATTAATTGAGAATTTTTAATTTGATAAAGATATTTTATTTTTACTTTTTAGTTAGCTATAAATATAGTGTATTAACAAGTGAAGTTTCTTCTACAGTCACAATTCACAAAGAACACAAACCATATAAAGTTCTTCAGAAAAAAGTCCACATTAAGACTAATTCATGTTTGTTTATCTTTTGATTTCAAATGAACAGCTTCTTAGCTCTGATGATCACTGGATGTATGCTCCCATTGCTTACAATGGAATGAACATTGGACTTAACCTCAACATTGCACCAACCAAACTACCATAGAAATTTAGAAGAAAATAAAGAGCTGAAGCTTCATGCCATTTGGAACTTTGTGATGTTTCTATTCTTTTGATAGGTATTTAATTATTCATTAGCAGCATTTATTTAATCCTAAGGATGTATAACCATGTGTATTCTTTAACCATGAGATATCATATTGAGCTGATTTCTTGACTCATTATTCATTGTTTCTTAAGTTGGTTTCAACGGTTTCAGTGGCCTCTAGCCATTGGCATCTTACCTTGTATACTTCAAGAATCCAAAATTAGCTTGTAATCCAATAATACTCTCACAATTGATCTTTTATCAGTTATAGATGTACCCAACATTTGAAGTTTTTGGTTACATCTTTGATATTATATTTTTCTTTCCATGAGTGTCATTCAGATCTAACACAGTACCTTCTAGGGAAAAAGATGTTATGTTAGAATCTAACACAGTACCTCTACACCTCTCTCTACTATAAACCTAAACCTAAACCTTCCACCTCACATGAACTATCAAACTGAAGAGGTATATGCAAACAGAAATACAACCACAAAAACACATTTACCGAATCGCATACACGTCACCGATTAAACACAGCACACAAATATTGATTGCAACCATTAAATCAAAATGATACGGAAACTTCTACAGCATGACAGAATGTAAATTACATCAGTAAATCAGTAAGCAATAATTCAAGCAGAAATCATGCTGAATCTAGGATGAAAATGGAACGAAAGTTTGAATCAACCTTAACTATTATTGAAGATGATAAACAAACAGTACTAAACGTTAATAGATCAATATGTTGTTTATGGAACCCGGTATGAACTCTAAAGCAGAGAATAAGAACAAAATCGTTACCCTGAGATACTCTCCACAAGATTCAACTTTGACCATTGCTCGGCATCGACGCCGTATCAAACCCGTGGTCGTAAGATCGGGATAAAACACCGTTGACTGTATTGAGTTCAATGAAGCATTTCATCAAACAAGTTGTGTGTGTGGAGTTACGTAAAATCAAATTAGGGAAAAAGAAAAAAGAGAGATGTAAAAATGATGAATCTAACCGTGCGTTGGTTTGAAGGTGTTTACGTAATCACTGATTGGAGGAACTCTCTTTACGAAGTCTCTTCCACAGCTATTCAGAGCTACTCTCTCAGTCGAGTGGAGAAACCTCTTGCACCTTCGTTCCCAAGTTCATTTCTTTTCACCCAATTTGTAATTTTTTCGGTTTTAAAATAAACATCATTCTAACTTATAAATAAACATCGTTTTCTATGTAAACAAAAAATAAACTATATAAATTATATGTTTTAATTTCACCAAAACAAAAAATAAATATATTTAGTAAAACTAATATTTTTTTAATAAACTTAAATTCATTATTAAATTTAATTTAAAATTAAAAAATTTTAAAATTAAATTAAAAATAATTAATAAAATAGAATAAATAGAGATTAAAAACATCATTCTAATTTAATAAATATTTTTTCAAAAAAATTTGCAAAGCTATGAAATCTTAAAAAATGTTTTAAATAAGAATAATAGACACTCAAATTATCTTAAAGAAAATAAATCTAAAAAATAATTCTTGACAAAATTTAAACAAAAACTATTATTATTGAATAAAGTATAAAAAAAATTTTTTGTGAAAATTATTTTAAAATAGGTTTGTTTTTATATTATATATATAAATCTAAAAAAGTAATATGTCAATTATATATTACAATTTTATTTAATAATAGTAAAAATTTAATTAAATAAATACATTTATATTTTTACAATTATATCATAAACTATTATTTTTAAAATATTAAATAAATATATTTTTTCTTTAAAAAATAACTAAAAAAACAAAATTAATATTATAAAACTTTTCTAAAAAATACAAAAATTTAATATAAAATTAAAAAATGTCTGAACAACATTTTCTTGGAATCAATATTTATTTATTAATCGTAAAAATATAATTAAAAATAAGAATAAATTAAATAATTCGCAGAGAAAGTCGCAGAAAAAGTCGCAGAAAAAGTTACAGCAAATTCCGCAGAAAATCTCGCAGCAATTCCTGCGACATTTCCAGAGACTTTTGTGGTTTCAAGAGATGACTAATTCCTGCGAAGAAAATCGCAGAAAATTCCGCAGGAAGTTTATATTTTAATTTTAAATTTAAAGTCGCAGCTAAAGTCTCAGAAATTCCTGCGACATTTACTGCTATCACGTTTTTCGCAGGAAATGATGTTTCACAATATAGAAGCGCAGGGAAAATCGCAGGTATTTCTGCGGAAATGTTTCCGCATGAAAATCCGCAGGTAAACTGTGTATTTCTGGTAGTGATATTCTTGAATTATTGATTGTTCAATGTTATCAAAATTTCATATTTTAGACTTTAGGTCTGTAATTATTTTTCAATGGTTTTAATTTGGGGATTTTAATTATTTGGTGTGAAGAGTAATTAGTTTTGAACATATTATCATGTGTTCTCAAAAGTTCTTATACAAGTTCTTGAGTGATAAGATGATTTAAACTGAACTGTTAATAAACTCTTTCCAATGCAGTCCTATTCAATAAGCTGCTTCCAAGTGCACAGTTAGAGAAGTACTTGCACTATGTAAACTGCTTTTACTGTGAAGATGGTAAACTCTGTATAAGCTAATAGAGTATGATAATAATCTATCTTAAGTAAATTATACCATGTGTAGGAAAATTAGTTCTGATTATTGTTTGATATTTTAGTTTGCTTTTTCATTTGTAAAAGTAGTATCCAAAAGGGACTAACTTAGTGCTAATTTTTTAAGTTTTGTAGTAGATTTAGTGATTAATTTATGCATGGGAATATATTCAGAAATAATTTGAAAGAAAATGGTAATTTTGGAGTTCATGCTATGCAGGTGTTTGTTATCGGTTTGTGGTTCGAGCACACACCATGGTCGTTCAATCAACTTTTGAAGTCTACATCATTCTCGTTGAAATCTACTACAAAGCTGGTTAATGATAGTAATTTGTATAGTAGTGAAAATGAAGTAGGATTAATGAATAATATATCATTCCCACAAGAATTTCATGGGAAGTTGCCTGTAACTGGCCGTTCTAGTCGTGTTGTTGGACCTGGTGATCGTGTATCCACTTCAACCGGTAAGCCTCAAGCATACTACCATGGTTTGATCTGGCTACTTTATAGTTTATAACAATGGATATCATATCTCCAAATGGCAGAGTTTACAAAAAATACAATATGAAGAGGTTAATGATTTGAGAAGTCAAGTCCATACAAGAACAAAAGAAGTTGGAGATGAAGCAACAATTGTAACGACAAGAAAAATAGATGATTGAAATGAAGAATAAACTTTCATTGTTAATGAATCATTTAAGATTTGCTGCATCTTCTTCTCATCCACCCCAAGCCAATAATGAAACTGATAATCCAAGTGAAGATAATGTTGATGAATCAGACAAAGACATTAGTGAACACATTAGTAGTGAATTTTGATTTGGATTGTTTTTTCTTATTAACTATTTTGAAATTTGCACCGTTCACTACTAGAAATACTCTATTTTCCTGCGGTTTTACATGCGGATTTTGACAAAATTTTCGTAGGAAACGTGTTACCTGCGATTTTTCCTGCTATTTTCTGTTCCCAGCTAAAACTTTCATGGGTAATTAATATAGCAGGTGAAGTCACAGAAAAATGTCACAGGAAAGTGTCGCAGGAAAAAGTCACAGGTAAAATAGATAAACTCGCAGATAACAACGCAGGTAAACGAAATATTTGCAGGAAATGTCGCAGCAAAATAGTAATCCGCAGGTAAACTCGCAGGTAATTTCTCTCTCATGTTTTTAATTTTTGATGTTAATTTTGTTTAATTTATATTTAAAATATTATAATTATTGTTAAATATAATAATATAAAAACAAATATCTAACTTGAACAAGACAATGCAACACTAATCACATTCAAATTTTTAAAGCAACCAAACATAACTATAAAGTCAATAACAATACTTCTAGAGTTATATTATTAACAATGTTTTATTTATATTATTAACAAGTTTAAACCATAACTTATTTGCAAAATTCAATTAAATAACAATTCTTATATTTCACCCTGTTACAAATTTTATGTGGTCAAAAACAGAGTTTACGCTACCATACAATAAAGTTAAAGCTTGCAATTATAGCTACTCTCTGGGAACACACAAAAATGAGCACGTTCTACAAATTTCAAGCTGTATGGTTTATTTGAATTTTAAATGATGTAATGTAAGACACGAAAACTAAGTTCTATTTGATGTATGGTAGCTTCACCAGAAACGACGAAAGACTCGGCTGTTCAGGACGGCCTGATAACATCCCTTGTGCACACGTGTGAGAATTCACGTACCTCGTCACCAACTTCTCACTTATACCTTCAAACGAACAACAACAAGCACCAAACCAATTGTCAGCCACCTCCCTCCAATTCGCTGACGGTATTTCAACAAAATTCCTTTATAATTATTGTAAACCACATAACAATCATAAGAACTTCAATCTACCTTTTTAAAGCTTAACTTCATACAATGATAACATACCCAAAGAACTCCACTAATTTATAACAATAGAGGTAAACAAAGAATAAACAAAATACCTGATAGGTTTATTGGTCAAATGGTATCTGCAACTTCTACAAATAAATTCGACTTCTCTAGCTGAAGACAAATTGTCTACATCTGAACCAAAAAATGATAATAATAATAATAATAATAATAAGCAAAAGCAAGCAAACGAGAATCGAAAGCGGAATATTGAGGTTATTACCGTATTCGATTAGGAGAGGTTGAGGTAACAACGAGGTTTGATGAAGTGCGGAGAGGGCAGGGTGATCGACGGGGAGTAAATGAAAGAAAAATATATCAGTTCTAATATGTTCCAACCAATCCTCGTTCAAAAACGACGCCGAGGGTGTTGATCTTGGCCTTGACGGGAACAACATTCATGACCTAAACTGGATTATCAATCATTGCAGCTGCAAAGCCTCCAAAGTAAGCATTCATATCAAGCAGATTACGGAACCTCTCGGGCTCTGCTAGCTGATAATCTAGTGTCTTGTAGTATGCAACTCTCGCCTTCCAGACCTCAAAGTTCCTCTTAGTAGATTAAAAAAAATCTTCAGTTATTGTCTTCACAGCCATAATCATAAATTATCTCAATCTGCACCAACCTAATAACAAATCCAGTCAGAAAGAGCACATCCCAGGGCAACATATATTGGAATAAATGATGTTATAAGAAACAGAAGAAAACCAACTAGGAGCATGATAAAAGCTGGCATACAACAAGGGCAAACATGATAAAACCCGACATACAACAAAGACACCAACATAAAGGTAAAACAATAGCAAAATGTTAGAATAGACTAACACAACAACCCTACAGTAATCACTGATTAGTGATCACTACTACCAACCACTGACAGAAATGTTGTTTTTATATTGTGGAAGGACTGCTTCCAGAGATTGGTGGTATGTGCTATTCCCAGCAAAAGCCTGCTGAAATGCCGATGGCATGTATGTATAGCTCTGGGGCATGAATGGATAGCTAATCATATTAGCAAAATGCCCTAAAGGAAGAGTAGGCTGCGAGTAGGGATGCACAGCAAGGTGCTGAGGAAGTGAAGGTCCAGTGGCAATACCAGCACCAGGCAAAGCTTGTTGATTTGGTTGAGCTTGAGGCGTAGAAATGTTGTTTGCCCTTAAAGCCTGCATCTTGAAAAAAAACACTATCAAAAGACTGAATGCCTACACTCTCCCTCTCTCTAAACCAATAAAATCAAGACACCAACATAAAACTAAACTGCAAGTTGTAATCATCTTTCCTATACAATAAGTATATTAATACATATGCGCCAAATGACGAACACTACACATTTAGAGTTAGTTCAGTGTATTCTTAAAATAGGGGATCAAAAACTGATACAATTCTACATATGCACATACATCAAACGTAATCAATTATAAATGATGTTGGTACAAATGTATGCATAACCTCCTCTAAGAATATTCCTTTGCTTCACTTAGGTATTTTGTATACACATTACAAAAGTGGGTTAAAAGATACTATATTCTCGTCAGAATTATTAACGACACTAATACTCATATGCAGTGTAGTTTTTTCCACTCAGTACTAATGTATCACAAGACAAGCATAAAAGTTGAGCTTGTAGAGGACCATCACATGTGGACATTTTATAGCATTTTTTACATAAAAAACAAATTGCTGAACCAGTATTAACATTTTTTTAACTACAAATATGAAATTATATTAGATGTCAGTAATTGTACCCATGCAACATTATACACCCCTTTTTAAAGAGCATACCAAACAGCCAAGCGAAAATTGAAATTAATACATTTGTTCACTATTTTAGAGAGCATTATATGTAAGGAACAATGTAAGACTTGTCCCTCGCATATTACTAGCATTGTCTAGCACTATCAAGCAACGAAACAAAATAGTACTGCAAAATATATTTGGACTAAATTGAACAAATAATGACCAAATGACATGGCTGATTCTGACACCTAAGCACAAAGCCCAAGTATTAGAGTTTCATATGTACACATGAACTCCAAAATATTATTTGCCTAAAAATAGACAGATACCGTGAGCCATAACATTAAAATTATTTGTAACCCAACATCTTCCGAAAGCTAGTTAATAGATTAACTTAAATAAGCTGGCAAAATAAAAGTCTCGAAAATTGTTATTTTTATAATAATCAACTTCTCTCCTACAAGACTTTTTGCAGAAAATAAGCTTCATTTTACTCTCTGAAAAATGAGTAGTATTATAGCATCAACAATAACCTAATCTTTAAAAATCAGGATTTCCAAATTCTAACTAAACCATTTAAAAACAAATTCTAGTTAACTAGAGAGCCAAAATAAAACAAAGCTTTGAAATATAGTACTGCACATCCAAAATATAACAATCCAGTGTATTACCATTACACTAGAGAAAGGAGATAGGTTCTGGATATGTGAGCTTGTTTGCAAATGAGGATATGTAAGATCTGGTTGTTGGGCATTTTCATAGGTAAACTCGTGCGAAGATGAAGGAAATGAATATTGATTTTCTTGAGCAGTTTCAGAGGGTTCCGGTTTTAAAGCCTCTGGTTGTGAAATGGAAGAATGTTCATATGTCCTAGCATCCACACCAGTTATGTGGGCTATATTTCCGTCTGAGGTAGTAGTAATATGCTCCTCCCCCGTAATAGTCGGGATTTCTGCAAGAATAATTAAAGACGTGTCTAATTAAACAATGAACAACAAGAATATGGAATAAAATGTCTTATCGTCTTAAGCACATACTTGGCATCTGAGGACCCAATAGTTGAAACATCATTAGCTCCAGAAGCCTCATCCAAGTTGCTTTGTAAGGGCCTAGATGCATGTGTTCCAGCACCAGATGCATGTGTTCCAGCATCAGAAACAGCGGTGGCATTTTGTTTAGATCCAAAACTACCAAAGCTCAAACTAAAGCACTCTGGAGTATGGAGCTGTAGATGATTTGGAATAAGTATATCAGAATTGGCCTCCTCTGGTCCTGTCCCTTGATCATCTGTGTGTATATTTAGATGCTCTAAGTTTCCAGCCACTGATGAAACACCATTTTCACCTGAAAGAAAGATTTCCAAAAAATTAAGACTCAGAACACATGTATGTAGACACGCGTCTAATATGGCCATGATAGTCAACTGTCAAATAATAGTATTAGTATTACAATTTAAAGTCATGCTTTCTACATTATTAGATGTCATACATGTGTACAAGATTATATTAGCAATGCAAGCCTTTTAAATAATTCACACATACAGAGTTATAAACCACCGAGCCATTTTTCAGTGTAACCACGGTATACTGGAAAAGAGAAAACCACAATTGTCACCATAGTCAACAGTACAGCACAAGACCGACTCAAAAGATTAAACAGACAAATTTAAAAGGCAATACCATTCCAGAATACATTGAAGATGAAACTCGTGCTTGCAACTCGTCACCTAAAGGTAAAACAACAGCAAAATGTTAGAGTAGACGAACACAACAACCCTACAGTAATCACTGATCAGTGATCACTACTACCAACCATAAGACCCATCATAATTAATTAAATACAAAGAACCCTACCGTAGAAGGATCACTGTCAGAGAAGGATTCAAGGCATATACTGCCAGAATCATCACAAGCCTCCTGAATTCCACCTTCCACAAAAGTAGCAGCAGAAGTCAAACGCGCCTCAGACTTTGTTTCATTCTCTTCCAACAACACAGGAACCTAAAACGGAAAATTAACCAATCAAACCCCACACCGACCTCGGAAAATCAAACAACTCTTAATTTCAGAAAAATCAAAATCGAATAACAACAAATCACGATTCATCAGAAGAAAACACAAAATAATCTGAGATAAAATTAATAGGATCAAAGTAAGAATTAATCGGTGTTACCTCATCCATGGAGAATATCGGAAAATTGAGATGCGAATACAGAAAACCCTAGCGAGTGCGAAAGAGGGAAAAAGGGCTTTTGTTTGGTGTGGTGATGGAATGTGTGGGTGTTGTAGTTGTAGTTGTTGTTAATCTTTTTCTTTTCTTTTTTTCTTTTTCTTTACCTTTATTTTATTTTATTGTACTATTAATTAATAACAATACAATAACTGCAACTTATATTTTTGATTTTTCTAATTTATACAACAATAAATAAATATTAAATAAATAATTTTTTTAAAATAATTAAAAAAATTTAATTAATATTATAAAACTATCTTAACAAAAATTAAAATTTAATATAAAATTAAAAAATGTCTCAACAACATATTCTTGTTTTATAATTTTATTTATTAATAGTAAAAACAAAATAAAAACTAAAAAATAAATTAAACAGTTCGCAGCAAAAGTCGCAGAAATATTTACAGCAATTCCGCAGCAATTCCTGCGATATTTCCAGAGAATCTTGTGGTTTCTATTTCCTGCGAACAGTATCGCAGCTAAATCCGCAGGAAATATATATTTTACTTTCAAGTCTAAAAATCGCAGCTAAAGTCTCAGGATTTTACTTTCAAGTCTAAAAATCGCAGCTAAAATCGCAGCTATATTTTACTTTAATATTCGCAGGAAATAATGCATCCCAATATAAAGGCGCAGGTGGAATCGCAGTTTTAGCTGCGGAAATCTTTACGCAGGAAAATCCGCAGGCAATGTCTGTATTTCTAATTGTAATTCTTTTATTAATTTGGTTGGACAAGTGATTATTAGTAACTTGATTGTGTCATTTTTAACAATGTAACTCTTGAAGTATTGTTATTGACTTTATAGTAATGTTTGGTTGCTTTAAAAATTTGAATATGATTAGTGTTGCATTGTATTATTCAAATTAGATTTTTATTTTTATATTATTGTTACTTTGATATATAACAATAATTATAATATTTTAAATATGAAATAAACACGAATAATAACAAAAATTAAGAACCTGAGAGGGAAGTTTCCTGCGAATTTACCTGCGGATTTTCAATTTGCTGTGATTTTTCCTGCAAAAATTTCAATGACCTGCATTGTTTTCTCCGAATTTATCTATTTTAATTGTGAATTTTTCCTGCGAATTTACCTATTAAATTAATTATTCACGAAGGTTTTAGATGGGAACAGAAAATAGCAAGAAGAATTACAGGTAAAACGTTTCTGCGGAAATTGTGTCAAATTCCACAGATAAATCCGCAGGAAAGCAGAATATTTCTAGTTGTTAAAGATTTATATAATATTGACTAATAAAAAGACATAAAATAATTAGTTGAGCACTTATTAATATTCCATATTCTTTTATAAATCAATGCCACACAACTTAAATTTTAAGGTTTGGAAAAATTACAATAGATAGTAAAATTCTCTCTTAAATAATTTAGTACGGTTGAATTCGCAAACTTTATTCAAATTTCA